ACCGTAGTTTTGTAGATGACAATGTTGTTCATTAATATAAGATAGCATCATCCCTTTGAACCTAGCTACTATTAATTTATTTAATTTAATTTAACCTCCTAGGACCTGGTGTCCACAAATGTGGACATCACATTTTGGGTTGTCTAGACCAAAATACTGCATTTTGCTCTACAAGGGCCTGATATCCACTCACGAGGACATCATAGTGCCACTGTTCTATTGAAATTTTAAACAAATATGCTGATATCTGGATCTCATTTTTCTCAGAAACAAAAATTAGGTTAAAAAAAAATCTGGTAATTCTTTGTTTTTACATTTATCAGGTGCCAATCAGCCCAAATATCAGAGAGAAATTAAAAATGCATGGGATGGAAGAGTTCGGGTCTTAGGAGGTTAAATTCTATGACTGTACACATTTCATAGTGTTACTCCCCCCCAATCACCAATCTGGCTTTATTTCTTGTTGTCAATAACAACCCTCCTATTATTTTTCCAGATCAGTCTGTCGATAAAATACAGAAACTGGTGCACAGTTTGCAGTCTGAAATATGTCAACATGATCAAGGTCTGTTTGTTGTTTCACTGTCAGCTGGAATCTGTCATGTGATTTGGAGGTGTGGTCTGTCCTCCACCCCAGATGTTAATAACACTCACCAGACTGTAACAATCAACCACCTGTGCTGAAATCTGAAATACCCATGCTGTGGATTCAAGGTGTGCTCTGGCACAATCGTAGATGACACATACTGACAACAAAAAATAAAGCTGAGTGGAGTTGGGGGCAACACTACTTTTAAAATTTATATTCAGTGATAATAGTAGCTAGCCTCAAAGTGTTAACGCTTGTTTATTTTAATTAACAACATTGTCATATATAAAACTACAGTGGTAAGAGAATTATTTTAGGGTGGCACATGCCACTCCATGCCACCTCTGTAGATCTGTCCCTTATTTTTTAAATGGTTGTGCAAAAAAGTCAGAAACACTGTTTACATTTTAAGGCATATTACACAACACAACAGCTGCATATGTGTAAAGAAATACCTTTGATTTTGCCAGCCTAAGAACATTTCATTACAGCCGGCCCTGTATACAAAGCTTTTAGTTCAGTGTGTACAAACAGCTGCAGGAAATGGATTCTGTTCTGTTCTTCACTCATCTCCTACCTGACACCTCACACCTGTTTCTCACCTGCATCATCTGTTGGACTGAACGTTGGTCTGAATGCTTCTTGTTGGTGTTTTTGATCTACAGTAAACATAAGAGACAGAGTCAGGATTTGTTCCAGCCTCCCAGTAAAAAGCAGCAGGTTAGAAATGTCTCAGAGCTTCTTAGGTGGTGATGCTGGGTAAGAGAGGCCTGTATCAGTAAAGCTCGTTTGTTTGTTGGTGTCTTTGTGTTTGTGAATGTAGGTGAAATTTAACTGTTAGAAAACAAACAGTGTTTGTCAGTGAAAAAGAGAATTAGCCTGATTTTCACGTTGATATCTACATTTGACGGCCTTAGTCATGACGCACTTATTCATGGTCATCATACAGCGCAGCGTAACAGACGTCACTTTAATGCGACTTCCTTAAGATATCGAAAGTGCGGAGTTTGAACGAGTGTCTGAAAAACTAATGTTTCAGCTTTATTTAAACCTCAAAGTTAACCTCATGTAGGCAGTTTTAAAATTCTAGTTTTGTTATTCACTGAAAATACCAACAGACTCAGACTTTTAGAACAAACTAAGAGTCAGATCAGCAGAAACAAAAACACGGAAATGTTTCCTGTAACTGCGTCGCTCTGCTCGACTTTGCTGATTCTCGGTGTCTTCGTGTTTGTCTCTGCAGGTGAGGTTTATAATCCAAACGGTGTTTCCCTCTGAGATAAAGAGGAACAAACATCAGTCTGGTTTATGTGTTCCCAAACAATTAGTTTCATATTGAATCAGTTTGTTTGTTTGTGTGTTGCATGAGGTTGGGTAAAGTCGCGTGAATTTGACCGCTTGGTCAGCGGTGCAGTTTCCAGCACAGAAGTGTAATGTGTGTGTCAGTGTGATGTGTTGTAGTGTCAGGAGTCAGTATACAGCCTGGTGGCATGGAGTGGCATGCTCCACCCTAAAATGATCTCTTGCCACCTCTAGTGCCACAGTAGTTTTATATATGACATTGTTGTTTGTTAAGGTGTGGCAACAGATTATATTAGGCTGGCACATGCCTCTCTATGCCACCTCTGCAGATCTGCCCCTGGGTTTTAAATCGTTGTACAAAAAAGTCAGAAACACTTTACATTTTAAGGCACATTACACAATGTAAAAGCTGCATGTGTGTAAAGAAATGGTTTTGATTTTGCAACCCTAAGAACACTTCGTTACATCCAGCCCTGTACGCAGCTACAAAGCTTTTAGTTCAGTGTATACAAACAGCTGTAGCTACATAAAGGCAGCATGCAGAGACTCAGTGTCTTATAATGAGAGGCTGCTTTCTCTCACACATTATGTTCACTTATTATCAGCACATGTTTCACTGTATAAATGTTTATATAACACACATCTCTCCATTGATCTTATTTAATTTATAAAATGCTAGTGAGTAGTGAGTGTGTGTACTCCTCAGTCTGATTGGCTGCTGCCAGGTTGGTGGTTCGATCCCTGGCTCCCCTGGTTTGCATGCCAAATATCCTTGGGCAAGATACTAACCCCGACTTGCTCTCCAATGGATCCATCGGAGTATGAATGATAGTTAGAAAGCACTCAACGTATAGATAATAGTGCTTGTGTGAATGGGTGAACAGCGTGTTATATAGAGCACTTTGAGTACTCCAGGAAAGTAGAAAAGTAGAAAATTGAATATATGTGCATACACTCCTCACTCCATCTGTCTGCTGAAGAAGTGATCAGTTGCACTTTGACCTTTAACCTCTCTGCTCTGTGTTGTTTTCTCTTTCAGGCCAGAAAATCATCACAGCTGAGCCTGGACAGAACGCCACTCTACCATGTCGAGCTCCAAACAACAGCAGCAGCATCTCAGTTGTAGAGTGGAGCAGAGCTGACCTGGGAGATGAATATGTTCTTTTGTACCGGGATGAGCTGTTTGATCCAGAAAAACAGCATCCATCATTTAAGAACCGGGTGGATCTGCAGGACAGACAGATGAAGGATGGAGACGTGTCTTTGATTCTGAACAATGTGATGATTAATGATAATGGAACGTACGAGTGTCAGGTCTTCATGAGAGGAGCAAACATGAGGAAGAGAGCTAATCTAGTTAATGAGCCCATCAGCATCATCTACCTGAGTGTCGTTCCTCCAGGTGAGTGAGTAGAGTTGAGTGTGTGTGATCAGAGGTGAAGCTGCTTCCTGGTGTTACGGACCTAGCAGGAAACTACTCTTGTGTGGGTGTGGTGTTCTCTCTCTGCCTCCTCCTCCTCTCTTGCTCCACCTCTCTGTCTCTTTTTCATGATTCTCTCTCCCCAGGACACATCTGCTGTTCATTTACCACCTGGGCTCAGTCAGCGATCACCTCTCTGAGGTCACATAAGCTGGGGATGAGCTGGATGTGGGAGGGTTAATCTTCAGAGTATTTTGAGTTATATGCCATACTGTTGGCTCTAGAATAGGTTGAAGACAGCAGAATTTCAAAAGTACTGATATTTAGTGATTCATTGTCGGCATTACTAAGTACTGAACAAGGAAACACAAATACCCATCAGCAAATTTTGTATGATGTTCTTTTTGCTCATCATAGATTGCCTGATCAAAACAAAAGGACTCTGGCTCATGTGGGTATTTTGGGTAATGAAAGAGCAGATAGGTTGGCCAAAACAGCTGTTAAAAAAGTCGATATAGATGTACAGATACCACTGTCAATATCTGAAGGGAAAAGCGTAGTAGGACAGAAAGTAGGAACTTCTGGCAAATGGCATGGGATAATGACACAAAAGGGAGACGTTTATATATAGGGTGCAAAACACAATAGAAGTTAAGAGGAGCAGCGGATTAATTAGACTGGAGGAGGTCATTGCTTTCTAAATGGTACTCTTTTTAGGATGGGGAAACATCCGACTGGGTTGCATGATGGGTGCAATGCTATGGATGGATGTAATGCTATGGTTGAACATGTGCTTCTTAGTTGTAGTAAGTATGCAAGTCACAGGAGGGTGATGAGGGGTGAAATGAGTGGTGGAAGGGAACTTACGTTTGAACAAGTGGTTGATAAGTAAAGTCATGGTGAAGGGAAAGTGGTGGTTTTTCATTTTTTGAGAAATACTGGTCTCATCAAGACATTCTGAGGACTCGGAAGTGAAGTAGGATTAAAAGCCAGGAAATGGCATTAATGCAACGTCTTTGGATGCAAGATGCCGTTAAACATGAAAGAAGAAGAAGATGTGGGACGGTGGTTTTCTCTGGTGTTCCCACATTCTGTGTCGAAGGTGTCGAAAGAAGTCCTGTTATGTGATTGTCCTGCCTGTGGTGTGGAGTTGTGGGAGCAGTGTGCAGTGTAGCTGCTTCATGGGAGTAGTGTGGGCTTGTGGGCCCCTGGAAGTGCCTCCTCGTGGTGTTGAGTTTTTGTTAGGTTGTTGTGTTCTTTGTTGTTGCAACCTTTTTCCTTTTCTAGTGTTACTGCAAAAACGGCGTTGCCGGCTCTTTATGTTAAGATTATCTATAGTAAAAACTATTTTATTTACTAAGCACCACTGTCTGTTCTCTTTTCATTCTGTTCTGGGCCCATTTGTTACCAGTCCCACACTCAAACCCCTAGACCTTCATTGTGGGGACGTAACACCTGGTTAATGTTTGTTTCTAAAGATGTTGTTGATGAGACTTTGTAGAAAGCAGCTGGTCTGAGTGATGTGATCAGAGTGCAGTAGATAATGTCTGACAGCAGTTTGAAGAGGAAATGGATTCTGTTCTGTTCTTCACTCATCACCTACCTGACACCTCACACCTGTTTCTCACCTGCAGGTCAGACAGGAGGAGACACAGAGGATGGATCTGTTGGACTGATCGTCGGTCTGAGTCTTTCTGCTGTGCTTCTTGTTGTTGCTGCTGTTGTTGGATTTCTGATCTTCAGAAAACATAAACAACAGCAGAATCAGGATTCATACCAGCCTCCTGCTGAACTGCAGCCTCTTTGAAATGTCTCTGAGCTTCTTTCATGGTGATGCTGAATAAGAGAAGTCTATATTACTAATCACAGAAGCAGGAGTAAGTCTGACTGAAGAAACCTGAACACTAGAGTCCACGTAGAAAACCAGAAGAGCTTCATTCCAAAGAGATTCCACAGCAGAGACAATGTTTGAATAAAAAGCTAACTGCCCCGCAAGTAAGAAGGAATAAAAATAAATAAACATTATTAAAAGTTGCAGGTTAAAAATGAATGAATTTTATTCTCCAGCATCTGTGTCGGAGTCCCAAGAAATCAGACCTAAAGTGATTCAGGAAGGATCAAAGACATTTTAATCAGCACGCTGAGAAGTTGGCAGAAGATACTAAATAATGTTGGAAAAAGTGTTAAAGCCTACACCTTTACTGTTTTTAACATCTATTGTTATGCATTTACTTCCAACACTGAGCAGTTTTCACTTCTGATGTATTGAACAATCGTAACTTATTAGTAATCGCTTTGATGATGTGTGATAAATGTTTCAAACACACACAGGTTTTCATCATCATTTGCATGTTTGCTAAATTAGTTTGTACAGAAAATGATGTCAGATTTGTGTTTGTGGTTAGCTGCTCATATCAGTTTAACATTTTATACTCTTTACATTTCTGTGGACAGACATGAGTTCATATTTTCAAACAATAATTAAAACAACTTAAAATAAATACAAATGTTTTTATTTCAGTTGACGTCAGGCATTGTTTGTAAAGTCACATTTGTTCTTTCAGGTTTGAACCACACAAACTGATCCTCATGTGCAGATCAGCTGTTACATAATTACAGACACTAACTGATCAATCATCAGTCCGTTGGTGCTCATTTGGCAACTATAACTGAGTGAATGTTCTGACAGTGTCATGAAAGCAAAGATGAAATGATTTCTATAACAGTCAGATGTTTCCTCTGATCTGTGAACATTTATTGAACTTTTCATCCCATGAACACTTGTGTTGTTTGTTTTCTGGTGGTTACTGCAGTGGAAATATTTCAAGAGCTAATAAATGTTTTACATAAATATTACTTTATAGTTGTTTTGAGTCTATTCATGTGTTTTCTGTGGATGTAAGAGTTTGTTTTTTAATATCTCTTCTTCTTCTCCCTGTTGACTTAATTGATGCAGAGTTTATGCCTTCTCCATATACACTTTTATTCAGTGATGTAATTTTGAGGTTGGCACTGTTGCTTCACAGCAAGAAGGTCCTGAGCTTAAATTGACCAACTGGCTGGGGCTGTTCTCTGTAGATAAGATAAGATAAAACTTTATTAATCCCTCGGGTGGGTTCCTCTGGGAAATTTGGTTTCCAAAAGCACA